AGTTGCCGGCTGGGTTTAAACCACGACAGTTCTGTCTCCTGCACATGCTGAGGAAAACCAGACATCCTTTGAACAGTGGCGAGTTCTGTGTGTTTCTATGTTATGACTTTAGAACTAGGAACTGTCAGGGGCTGCTGTGATGCACAGCTCTTACCCAGTGAGTCCTTGAGGACGTAAGTGAGCTTGCTTTGCCGAAAGGAGATGTGGTCCCTCTTAGGATCAGCCAGGGCAGTGACGACTTGCTCCAGGAATGACAGAGACTTGTTGATATACGTGGCTTCCTTCAGAAGCTGTCCTTCAGACTGTAATGAAAGATCAAAAGGCAAATGTTCCACAACACAATGCTTCTGGTGGAACCACAGGAGGGAGCATATTCCTCACTGAGAGTAAAACTCTGCTTGTCTCTGAGGATAAGGAGCTAATTCAGACCCAATAAATTCATGAGCTATAGCTTTCTTCAGTTTGAAAACAAGTTTTCAGACACCTCAATTTTTCATTACAAGTCTACAAAGACCACTGCCTTTCCCCCGAAAGGGTAAATTACGTTTTGGCATTGGGCTGACACAATTTCTACTCTGCTCAATGCAGAATGTCACACGGCACCTTAGAAGCTTTCAGTCGTTGAGCCCTAACACCCTATGAAAGTTTCAGTAGTTTGCCTGCCATGACCAGAATTTACACTGTCACTGCTGGAATGAAGAGGAAAATCAAAGGTTCTTTGAGAAATTACGGACTCAAGTTAATCAAGTCTGAGTTGGATTGGAAAGCACATGCAGGATAGGAGTTACATGTGGACTTAGAAATGATACACAGCAGCTGCAAACAACTAAGCACCCTGTGACGTGTTACCATGACTTACAATTTCTCACAGTGTCGCCTGTTTATCACAGGCTGAATTCTGTTGTGAGGAAGACCTGTAATTTCACCTCCATCTTGTTTATTACTGGGCTCATCACCACAGACTGAAACATTTCTTCCATTACTTACTCCAGACTTGCTCAGTCTCTCTGAGCCTGCCAGATCTATTAAGTTGATTTTAGAGTTAACGCATTTGACATCTGAGAAAAATCTGAAACGAGACTGAGGAAGAAAAGAATATAAACTGTAGACAAAACTGAAATACAGTAAAAAACAGATGTGTAAAGATCCTCAGCCATTTGAGTCCCCAGAAAAACTGCTGGGCCACTTACCTCGATGTAAATAGTAAAGATGCAATGGGATCTGGACGAATGCTTGTTCAGTGCATGCTCTGCTATCACCCTTTTGCTCTCACCCTGCAAATGAAGAAAAATTCAAGACAGTGTTTTTAAACTTCTGCATTGGTAGAATAAAAGGAAATGAGAAATCCACAGTTAAATAAATGGCAGTTCAATCTTCACTCCATAGAGACTGTAACTCCCATCAGCTGGTTCTCAGAATCACAGAATGGTTTGGGTTGAAAGGGACCTTAAAGCTCATCCAGCTCCAACCCCCCCTACCACAGGCAGGGACACTTTCCACTAGAGCAGGTTCGTCCAACACCCCTCCCACCAAGCCCCATCCAGCCTGGCCTTGAACACTGCCAGGGATGGGGCAGCCACAGCTTCTCTGGGCAACCTGTGCCAGGGCCTCACCACCCTCACAGGGAAGAACTTCTTCCTCAGATCTCATCTAAATCTCCCTTCTGTGAGTTCCAATCCAACCTCCTTGACCTGTCCCTACCAGCCCTTGTCAAAAGCCTCCCTCCAGCTTTCTTGTTGGCCCCTTTATGCACTGGAAGCTGCTCTAAGGTCTCCTCAGAGCCTTCTCTTCTCCAGGCTGAACAATGGTTAGAGCAGAGTGGGAGCTCACCATATTTGCCTTGCTTTCTTACTCAAAGGCCTCTCAAACCATTTCACAAGGGGGTTGGCAAAGGTCTCAGTTTACTATAATAATGCCTTTTACTGAAGACCATTTCCACTTTCAATGCTCAGCTCACAGAATTGTGGCTTTCTGAGGAACAATCAGGCAAGCCTTGCTCAGAGGCAATACCTCCCTGGCTGTTTCAGTTTCTTTATGACTAGAAACCCAAAGAGTTCCCAACCTTCAAATGTCATAGAAAAGTCACATGTACACAATAGCCACAAATCGGTAATGCCTGCTTACAGGAAAAGACAGCAACATAGAAAATGATGTGGTAACTGCTTGTTAGGAATGCCAGGCTATCACAGAGCCATGCTGTCAGGCTGGCAAGGCAGAAAAGAAAACGGAAGGCTCTACGGCACAGAAATGCTCTTGTCAATAGGTTTCATAGCAAACATCTGCCTGGCTCTCAAAGGGCGATGACTTTTGAGAGCTGGAAGGTCAGTCACTGGCTCCACACTAGGGAGTGTCAAGCAAGAAAGCGAAGAGCTTTAGGTATAAATACTATCAAGCCCAGCCTACAAATGAGGTGGCCAGCCTCCTCAAAGCCTGGAGCTTTTTCTGTGAACCTCGAACCACAGGCAGAACTCATCTAATGACCCTGAATGGGTCCCCCAGCCTCACTTGCTCTTATTCTGCTAATGGATCTCAAGCTAAGCTGCATTATCATCATACTACTCTTTAAAAAAGAAAAAGAGAGTTCCTGCCAATCACAGAAGCTGGCTTAGGATACCACAGTCACATTATTAAAAAGGCAAGTGAAATACTTCAAGGACACCAGGTGGCTCCTTGTATGAATACACTTCCTGCATACAGACCTAATTCTTTATTCATGTTTTTCTTACGAACTAAAGCATCCACAGTAAAAGAAAGATGCAGGTATAAGTAAACAAACTCCCTTCACAAATCTAACCCCTTGTGTGAACATCTCGCTGTAAAATCTGACTAATATGGTACCTGTGTCATGATCATCCCAAACTATGTGCCGAAGATGCTGCTGTTAAGACTCTTTCCTTGGAACATGGACATAGCTAGGACAGGTGTATATGTTTTTTCAGGAAGAAATTGCAGTGTAGGTCAGCTGGTGGGTCTAAAAGGACACTTTGTACTAAGCCACTCACCAACACACTTATGTGATAACCAGGGTCATGAAAACAAGTCTCTTACGCTGTCCAGGACCTCGGCCTGCTGAAGGGGCCAATGAGATAGTGAGATAAACCTTTTGAAATTAAGGCAGATTCTGTGGCTGCCTTCTCTATTTTGGTGCTGCCTGAAACCTCTGCTGCCTGAAATCTTCCAATTTTTGCTACTGTGTTCTATGGCCTCACCCCAACATACTTTCTCCATCACTTGACTTGCTCTGGCGTACATTAAAACCACAATTTCCCCAAGGAGATCTTCCAGAACCTCTGTGCCAGGGACATTTTTCTTGCAACAACATGGGCTACTAAGAGTTATCAGTTCTTCTACCCACACAACAAAGAGAACAAAGAGGGTTAAACCTCCCTCCAGCCCTCCTGGCTACCCACCTCCTGCTTTACTGCCTCCTCCCTGTGCTAAGCCAATAAACAATTAAATGAAGTGTAATATTTGTTTTCTCTTGCCTCAAAAAGGAGACTTAGAGCATCTTCCTCGAAGCTAACTGTATGTATAGACAAGCCCTTCACATAAACCCCTTCTGGGCAATCCACAATAGTCATCTGCATGGCACTGCTCCCATCGCTTGTCACGGTGGACAGAAGGTCAAACAGGGTCTCATTGTAGATTTCCAGATAGGATATTCGGATAGTGATGAGTGGATCAATGGATTGTGCAGTTGCTTTGAAGACCTATACAAAGATAAGAAGTTTGCCGACGGCAGTGCTAGTTCACAAACAGAATAATTAGCTATTTATGGTGTTCCAGAAAAGCTATTCATAACTTTCTGAACAGCTATAACTGCATCCACGTGTGTGTAGCTAATTCTGAACAGGGGTTGCCTGAGCACTGACATGGCTAGGTCAACAGTTTTAATATGATTTTGCAAAATGGTAGTGCTGAAAACAATACTTGAAGGCCTGCTTACATTTGGGAAGCAGCAAATAGAATTAAACAGGAACAACCTCTGCAAATGACAATAAAGCATAACTACAGAACTCTTCCCATCTTTGTTTCACAGAATCATCAAATCACTGAATGGGTTGGGTTGGAAGGGACCTTAAAGCTCATCCAGTTCCACCCAACCCTGCCATGGGCAGGGACACCTTCCACTAGAGCAGGTTGCTCCAAGCCCTGTCCAACCTGGCCTTGAACACTGCCAGGGATGGGGCAGCCACAACTTCTCTGGGCAACCTGTGCCAGGGCCTCACCACCCTCCGGTGTCCCTGGAGCCTTCTCTTCTCCAGGCTGAACAAGCCCAGCTCTCTCAGCCTTTCTCCATAGCAGAGGTGCTCCAGCCGTTGGAGCATCTTCTTGGCCTCCTCTGGAGTCACTCCAACAGCCCCACACCCTGCGTGTCAGCTGTCTTTGTGGAACTGGAAAGCATGCTGTGTCACTGCCCAAAGATAAGCAGACCTGTCCCCTCAAAGCACTGCTAAGCTTGTGCCTCTGGACAGGGACATGTCTATGTAGCAACAGGACTAACAAATCAGCATATTTCAAGCCAACACCATCCTAATGCTCTGAAACATCACCATTATCAGAGCACAAGGTCACAGTGTAGTAAAACAAATGTAGAAAGTAACTATGTTTTATAAGGCTCCTTTAAATCTTTAATGATAATAGCTTAGATAAAAAGAATAAATAAAACCACTGCTGGAGATAAATTTAAAACATATTCACCATGTTAAAACACTTCTGTGAGTATCAGTAAGAGCTGATACAAGAGATGTCCTTGCTATTTCTTCCAGTCTCTTTTCCCATTCAGATCCAATACCTGCTGTATAGCTCGTGGTATGATTCCTCGATGCTTGTAATCGGCGGTTGTTCCCATCATGGTGTAAGTTTTACCAGCCCCCGTTTGCCCATAGCACATTATCGTGCCTGGAAAAGATTCAAAAGCAAAAGAATAAACTCCAGAGGTAACATCTGCATTTCTCAAATGGAACACCAATGGGATCTCTCCCTCAGATCAAATCTCCACTTATTGCCAAAAAAAGGCCCAGTGCAAGGTCCTACACCTGGGTCAGGGCAATCCCAAGCACAACTTCAGGCTAGCGGAGACTGGATTGCAAGCAGCCCTGGAGAGGTTGGTCAATGAGAAGCTCACCATGACCCGGCAGTGTGCACTTCCAGCCCAGAAACCAACCATGTCCTGGACTGCATCACCAGCAGCGTGACCAGCAGGTCGAGGGAGGGGATTCTCCCCCTCTGCTCCACTCTGGTGAGACCCCGTCTTGTGAGACTGGCTGCCCCATCACTGGCAGTGTTCAAGGCCAGGTTGGATGGGGCTTGGAGCAACCTGGTCTAGTGGAAGGTGTCCCTGTCCATGGCAGGGGGTTGGAACTGGATGGTCTTTAAGGTCCTTTCCAACCCAACCCATTGTTATGATTCTATCATTCTATGTTAATAAAATAGCAGCAAGTTACCATTATAGCCAATTAGAGCTTCGGACACCAATTTCTTTGCCACTGTCTCATAAACCTGTTCCTGGGATGTGTTGTGAAGGACGCCATCCATCTTAAAGGACCAGCTGGTCTGCCTGCTATTCATAGCTTCTTTTTTGGCATCTTTTTTGAGGCATATTTCTATCCTCTGAAATTCAAAAAGAGATGAAGTTAACTTCAATAACCATGAAGAGTTTCAGCAATTGTTGTCTGAAAAGAAAAAATATGCACTGAAGACCTGTAGGCAAGGAGAAAATAGAGCACAAATAGCAGTATTGTCTTACTGAACTTGACAGTATTTTCTGGAAGAAAAGGTAGCTAAACTCATCTGTTTACCCCTCAGTGATGTGTCTGATCTTTTGTCCCAGGGAAATTATGAATTAAGCAAGAGAAGATGAAGGGAGGAACTTGCATAAGGGAGGATAGAAATAGACTGTTCCACAGGTTGGAACTGAAGTTATCACTGGGAACTCCTCAAGGATCAGTCAGAGTCACAATCCTTTTGAGGATTTCCTCTACTGCATCACCAGAAGTTTGTTTTCCATAGTCACACTTGCTGATACAAAACCACAAGCCTCTGTCAGTGCAGAGAACAGCAAGCAGGGCAAATCAAGATGCATCAAAATGTCATGTGACCTTAAGGATTGGAAGAATTCTGCATTTCAGTGGGCAAAACTGACATCAAATTCCAAACCTTGCACACTTGCAATCTCTTTTTGCCTACCTTGTTGTCTGGCCCAAACTTGACCATATCTTGAGCAAAATCAGCCGTTGGCTTGACTCGCACGAATGTATGGACTCTCTTTCTTACTAGATCCATTCTAACTAGAGAGGAAAAAAAGGAAAAATCAACACTGTTGCATTCACTAAAAAGAAATGTAATGTCATCTGTCATGAAAAGGCAAGCTACAGAGTAGTCAAGTTTAAAAATAAAGTGTTGACAAATGTTCAGTTGCAGTTTCTATTCTTTATTAAAAGCAACTGTGGGCAAAGAGTTGCTGAAAATTCTTTCCAGCATTGTTCTGCTCAGAACACTGAGCATGGACATAGAGAAGGGTATTCCTGATCGTGATTTCCTCTTGTGTACTAGGCATGCTAGAATTTGACAGTACAAGCTTTCCTTCCTCTTAGCCTTGCAAGGAAAATAATTGCAGGAATATGAAAAGGATTTTCTTTTGTCCAGTGTTTTCAGTGTGTGGATGCACTCACAGCCTCCTGGTTTGTAATGTCTGATCATCCAGAACTCTGTTTCAGTCTTCTGAGGATTTGACTAAGATGTGTTGTAGGTGAAACCAAACCAAAAGGATCTCAACAGCACTGCAAAGGGCTGTGCAATCATTGGTATGCCAACATTTCCAGTGCTCTGAACACCAGTTACCTTGTTTACAGTCTGGATTGAATGTGCATTTCTCATATTTTGGAATTAGAACCCCTTATTTATACTAAGCCATAAAAATACTTTAAAGTTCCTACTGAAGATCTGATCTTAAAGTTTCCAGAAGAAACAAAAAAAGAAAAAAAAGTCATGTGCCTGACAATTCCTGATGAAATTCTTATTTTATTCTTCATGTCAGTGTGAATTTAGGGAGTGGCTGTTAATACTCAGCGACACTAGAGGAACTGCTGACTAAAATCCACTGCAGGAGGGCTCAAGGGATACATCCAGCTGCTTAAAAAGCTGCTTTAAGCCCCTGGAACATGCAGATCCTGTGAAAAACAGTTGTGTGATGCCTAGGGACAATTTCTAGTTTCAAATAAAGTATTTTGTAATTCTTGTATATCACGTATTGTGCTCTCTCCAGCACCTTATCTGCTGTGACTGCTCTAAAAAGAAATGCATGGCTGTGAGCTGAACCAAGACTTCTCTTTAATTAAAACAGAGGTGAGCATTTGCATGACTACCTGGTAAAGGTACCGTGGGCTCCTTGTCCTCTTCCCAGATGTCCTCAGTGATTCCAACACAATGACTGCTGTGGAATCCAAAATGGTGCTAAGTTCCCATGACCAAAATCTCTTCAGATTTGGAGACAGTCTCCTATTTGAATGATCTGTGAAAAAACACAGTGATAAAGAAGTGCACAGGTGTCGCTGTAAGGATCTCCTCTAAATTATAGAGATAAAGCTGCCAAACATTTGCCAGTGCTGTGTGAATAAACACAGGAGCAGCACAGGTACAAGTGGAATGGATGGAGAAACAGAGTTTCAAAGTTGGGAGCCAGCATGGAAATGCTGCTCATCTGGTTATCAGGATTGTGAGAGGTCACAAAACTCCAGTACAAAAATAGAACCCAATGTTAGAGTGCTACGTGCCTTATTTCATAGAATAATAGAATCACAGGATAGTTTGTGTTGGAAGGGACCTTAAAAATCATCGAGATCCAACTCCCTGCCACAGGCAGGGGCACCTTCCACTAGAGCAGGTTGCTCCAAGCCCCATCCAACCTGGCCTTGAACACTGCCAGGGATGGGGCAGCCACAGCTTCTCTGGGCAACCTGTGCCAGGGCCTCAGCACCCTCCCAGGGAAGAACTTCTTCCTCAGATCTCATCTAAATCTCCCCTCTGATAGTTTAAAGACATTCCCCCTTGTCCTAAACATGACAGGCAAACTGGGGAGTTAAAGATGCTTGGGGAAAATGACCATGAAGCAGCCCCTAGAATTCCATCTCCAGTGACACTTTGAGCATCGCGTTCAACCAGTTGGACATCAACAATCCAGTACCACCTCCAACCTGAGAAGAACCAGGGGAGAACAGCCCCAAATTACTTCTTCCTTCAGAGTGCAAATCAACCAGAAGAGGAGGGATGAGGTCTTGAGCATGTCTGGGACTGAGTGAGATGGACTGTACCCTCTCAGTGTGTTTGTTGACGACACTGAGCTGTGTGGTGTGGTCAACATGCTGGAGGAAAGGGATGCCATCCAGAGGGACCTGGACAGGCTGAAGAGGTGGGACAGTGCAAACCTCATGAAGTTCTACAAGGCCAAGTGCAGCCAAGTGCAAGATCCTGCATCTGGGTCGGGGCAATCCCAAGCACAAATACAGGCTGGGGAAGACTGGATTGAGAGCAGACCTGAGGAGGACGACTTGGGGGTGTTGGTCCAGGAGAAGCTCCCCATAACCTGGCAGTGTGTGCTTGCAACCCAGAAACCAACCATGTCCTGGGCTGCATCAGCAGCAGCAGGTCGAGCGAAGGGATACTCCCCCTCTGCGCTGGTGCAACCCCCCTGCAGTCCTGCATCCAGCTTTGGAGACCCTTTTTACAAGGACATGTAGTGACAGGACAAGGGGGAATGGCTTTAAACTGTCAGAGGGGAGATTTAGATGAGATCTGAGGAAGAAGTTCTTCCCTGTGAGATTGGTGAGGCACTGGCACAGGGTGCCCAGAGAAGCTGTGGCTGCCCCATCCCTGGCAGTGTTCAAGGCCAAGTTGGACACAGGGGCTTGGAGCAACCTGCTCTAGTGGAAGGTGTCCCTGCCCGTGGCAGGGGGGTGGAACTGGATGAGCTTTAAGGTCCCTTCCAACCCAAACTGTTCTATGATTCTGCAATTCTCTAACATGGAATACAGGTTTACCATGGCCAGCCATGCCCACAGCCCTGCTTTCTGGCTCAGGGGCCAAGGTGGGTGATCTCTCGGGCGCTGGGGTGGAGCAGGGCTTGGCGACAGGGGAAGGATCATCCATGTTTTAGAGAGCAAGGCCTGTGGAGACACCACCTGAGGTGGGGGGCACGCAGCCTTGGGGGCGGGAACGACGAGGTCTGGGGGGGGCT